CCTGTGGATTTAAATACAGCAAAATTACTGAATCTACCTCCTTCTCACTAACCTACTACTTTAAGTCAAGCCAATCATCTCAGACTCTGACCATCTTAAGAGACGTCTCGCTTTTCTCACTTCATTGCAATCCCCTGCACACTACATATAGTAAACCTTTTTTAATTATAAAAATGTAATTTCAGCTTTCAAATATCTTTGACAGTTAAGGGACTACAGAGCATTCCAAACTATACAGCATAGCATACAATCTGGCCTCGGTTTACCATTCGGCTTCAGATTCAAATACTCCTTCAGTCTATTGTTACATTATACTTTAATCACTTTGCTAGCTGATCCTGAAGCCATATACTTTAACATGACTACTGTTTATGTTTTTCCTTCTGCCTGTGTTCTTCCACGACCTGTGTTCCCAGAAAATTTTGTACATATTTTAACAGAGCAATCACTACACCATAGTATAGTCTGTCAGTTCTTTAGAACAGCAGTTATGGTTTATTCACATTAAAAATTCCCAAACCCTACCAGTATGCCTGAGATATATAGTAGGTGAACAATACACGCTTGATAAGTGAGAGTCCAAATATTCTGTACAACAGACAGTAAGTATATCCTGTTTAAGTTTTTTCCCTAGTACGAGTTTTAACATAATAGCTAGAATTAATAATATTTGAGGAAATATAACAGGTAAAAACGTACTGCTCCCAAAAGAGTCTGGGAACAACAGGGACAGGAAAAAAGGTAAAAAATTAATGTGTTAATTCGGATAGAAAACAATATAGCAGAAAAATTATGAAGGAAGCATGTGGCCTCTAATCTACACCAGTAGCTTAAAAAACACACTTCACCGGAAACCAAAACTGAGCAGCGAGCAGAACTGGCGAAGTGGCCCGTCGGTCCCACGCAGTCAGCGTGGTGGACGTCTGCAGAGCTGTTCACACACACTCAAGGTGTTCTGCTTTGAATAACTAGAATCTCGGGTTCCTAGGCGGCTGGGGCCTCGGACACTCCACCCTCGAGAAGGCACACCCTAGTTTTTTTTGGCCTGAGACATGCACCCGGGCACACCTGCCCGGGATGGGGAGCGCTCCGCAGAGAAGCGGCGGTAGAAAGGAAAAGATTGGTGCTTAACGGATGGGGGCGAGGGTGGAGACAGGGACCCAAGTCATTTAAACAAATAATTGAGTGCCGAATCCTGAGAATGCGGCAGTGCACAGACACACACGACCCCTGTCCTCGTGGTACGGCTCTCAAAATCACAGCGGAAACGCTAGAGCCCGGAGCTGGGAAGGGGGCGGGAGCCCGCATTTGCCCCTCCCCGAGTTCCTCCAGGTCTCTGGAGTCGCCTGCCTTCCGACGCGGAGCGGCGGTGGCCGCACGGAACCCCCTCCATGCCCAGGTTGGGCCTCCTCCGTGACCCCTGGCCCTGGACAGTCCCCTTGGCTCTCACCGAATCCTTTAATGAGCTCGGTGAAGACCCCGGGGTCGCTTTCCATGAGGCACCACTCCCCGGCATTGCCCGTCATGGCCCCGGCCACACACCGCCCCTCTCCACCTCCGGCTCCGGCCGCCCCTGGTACCCGCTGCCGCCGGCCACTGATCTCAGCAAACCCGCCGCGGAGCTCGTCAACCCCACGTCACCCCGCCTACTTCCCGCCAGCCTCCGGGCGCCGCGCCCCCCGCCCCCCCGCCCCCGCAGCGCGACAGAGCGCGGGAGGACGCTCTAGCCACCCAGGAGCCAGCGAAACTCTTCCCAGGCCGTGCAGGACCCGTAGCCGATTCGGAAGGGGCGGGCCTTGAGGGGACGGGGCGGGGCTTCAGGGCGCTGGAGGGGGAAACATCCGGGACCCTCTCCAGTCCAGAGCGAGGCGGGGCCAGGCGAGAGGGGCGGGGCTCATTCCCGGGACTCGAACCTGGAGGCCTGACCCGCTGCGTTGAAGTCGGAGCCGTCGCCGCCCGTCGGACCGCTGCCGCTTGTCCTCCGGCGCTGCGCAGGGCTTCTCCCGGTGGCGCTGCGGGTCGGAGGTCGGCCGCCGAGCACAGGTGAGAAAGCTGCGGGAGGCAGGCTGGGGCCCTTTGTGCGGACTGAGCGGCCCGGGGACTCGCAGGGTCTGACCGGCATCCCCGCGGCCCAGGCCAAGCAGAGACTTCGCCAAGCCGCCGTGCTCCCCAACCCGCGCCCAGGCCGGCGAGCGGACCAGCATCGCCGCGGAGACAGCCCCGCGCGGCCTGGCCCTTCGTGGACCCCGGGCCGCGCCTGTCGCGCGCGCATGGCTCTCTCAGGCCGGCGCCTGGAGGTCCCGCCTCACTCCCGGTGTTCCTCCTCCCGCGGCCTCTGCGCGGAGAGGCGTTGCCCAGGATCCGGGGTGCGGGAGGAAGGGTCTTTGTGGGAAGACGAGGCGAACTTATCCCGGACCAGAGGGAAGAACGGAGAGGAGAAAGGCCCGTCCTGTAGTCCATGAAGATGGTAGGAGTAAGGAGTAAGGGGATGCCTCGGAGGAAAACGAGGTTTTAAAAACGTAGTGTGTTCATCTGAAAAGAGTTGTAGTGGTTCTAAGACAAAAAGACGAGTTAAACCAAAAATGGCTTTTTCCACAAAGTCACCCTCATTCAGCAGGCTCTTGCAGAATACTCGTGATAAGATTAAAGTCTTTAAGAGTATATTTCTGCATCCTTCTTTTGAGTTCCAAAAAGGACCCTTGGCTTCAGGGGAAAAAAAGAAATTTGGTGGATAAAACTCTGATCCATTACTTCTCAAACAGGTGACCTGTGTCTTGAGTTATAGATAGCTTTGTGCTGCGGACTGTGCGAAGCCACAGAATACACACAGTAAGTTTTACTCAGAGAAACAACAACAGCAGCTTTTATATTAAAACAAGCACAGCTATGTTATGGAATGAAAGTCAAAACTTGTATTAACTCTGATTAAAAAAAAGAATGGAAACTTTGTTGAGGTTTGTCCCTAGGAGAGTCTACCCTCAAGCTGAGGGGCTTTTGTTCACTATCTGCCCTGTTGAGTATCCTTAACTGGAAGTTTGTGGGGCACAGGGGTCTAGCCTTACCTAGTCGTCAGAGCCCAAAGCCGTTGGTGGTCATTTGTGGTATTTTTTAATCTGATACTGCTGTGAACTTGAAAGATTTTTCTGTGCTAAATAAAAGTATGAAAACTAACGTTTAATACCCAACTTAACAAAATGCCTATTGTAGAAAGACAAAACTAAAAATTTAGCTCTTTACACAACCTGGAAGTAATCACGGGGGTTAAAATTTCTTTAATAATGTTAGCATTTAATCCTAAGAGTACATATTAAAATACAGATTTCTGGGTCTTTGAGAAAAGACGATTTGACAATACTAGGCCCATACCACATGGCAACCAGTTGATTGAAGATGCATGCCTTCAGGATAGCGCGCTATCATTTTGCCACACTTCCTCACCACTTTATTCCATCATACTTGACTTGATCCTCTCGTGACTGTTACCAGTCTGGATGAAACAGTTATTTGAATTTGTGGCCCCAGTTTTTACAGTATTGTTTCTTGTAAATTGTCTTGAATACCTTCATGGATGTAAGTAAGCTTTTAACTTCATTTAAAAATGAATAAGCTGCAAACTTGTTAGACCTCTTGGGTGAAATATAGCATTTTCAAATAACAAATGACCAAGAGACTTTGGAAAGATATTCAGCTGTGTACATTCAAGAAAAATGTAGGAATCCTTAGAAATAATGCATTATTTGTACTGTTAAAAGATACTCTAAATATTCTAGTTCTAATGAATGTGAAGCAGAAAGAAGAGCTATTCCATATTGTGTATTACTAACATTCACTGATTTTGCATTCAAAATTAAGGAAGAATTGGGCGGTGTATAAAATATCCACAACCAATTTCAAATTGTGGCCATGCTTTTAATTATATTGAGATATATTTAATTTCTTCCCAAAGTTTTAATTTATAGAAGTTTAATACAACTTTGGCTGTATTAAATTCTTTGAAGTGGTGTGCTTTAAGAACACTGGATAAAGCAAGCCGACCTAAAGAATTAACTGTCTTTATTTGTTAATCTGGATTTACAACACTTGATTATTCAGGAGTGGATTAAGAGATGACCAGGCTCTGACCTCACTGCACAACTGCCTTCTAAACCTCTGACAGTGGAGTTTAAGCTTTATTGAGGAGATGATAGCACTTGGAGAGAGACAAAATTGAGGTCCTGTATATATATATATGTCTGTGTGTATCTCAAATTGCTTTCTACAGACAAATATAAAAAAAAATCGAAGGTTGAATGTCACGTAAATGCTTATTTATTTAAATAACTTCCCAAATATATTTCACCTAACCAGTTTTTAAGTTTTCATTTTTAATAACAGTTTTTGAGATAGTATTCACATCACGAAATTCACTATTTTATTGTATCTAATCCATGGGTTTTTAGTATAGTCACAGAGTTATGTAACCATCACCTATCTAATTTGAGAACATTTTCATCACCCCAAAAAGAAACCCCTTACCACTTTGGAGAACAGTCTGGCAGTTCTTCAAAAGGATAAATACAGTTAAGATACGACTCATCATTTTACATTCTCACTAGCAATATATGAAGTTCTAATTTCTCCAGATTCTCATAAACACATTATTATTTTGAGTATGGCTATCCTAATGGATGAGAAGTGGTATCTCATTGCAGTTTTGATTTGCATTCCTCTGATGACTAATGATATTTATTCAGCATCTTTTGTGTTTATTGACTGTTTGTGTATATTCTTGAAGAAATGCCTTTTCATATTCTTTGCCTATTTCTTAATTTGGTTAAGTATCATTCCATTATTGAGTTATGAGTTCTTTATATATTCTAGGTGTAAGTTTCTTATCATATGTCTGATTTGTAAATATTTTCTCCTATTGCATGTGATGTCTTTTTCTTGGTGATATCTATATACAAGTTTTAAATTTTGATGAAGTCCACGTTATGTTTTGTCACTTGTACCTTTTGTGTCTTGTGTTTTGCAACCAATTTTCATACATCAACTCAGTGTCCTACAATTCAGTTCAACTGAGTTCCAGAGTTAGCATCAAATCCCACAAGTTAAAGGGCAGGATCCCCAACAAGACTGTCCTTACCTTAGACAACAGCATCCAGTAGGGTCCCCAGTCTTCTCACACTTCTGCCTGGCCAACTCAAATTCAGGGCTTCTCACAACCCTTCATTATCAAAAATTCACTAGAATGGTTCACATAACTCACTAAAAACGTTATCTTTAGAGTTTTATTATAAAGGATACAATTCAAACAACTAAGTGGCAGTCTGGAGGCAAGTGAGGAATTCCCTGTCATTGATCCTGACATATCACCCTCCCCACACGTCAGTCTGTTCACCAACTCAGAAGCTCCACTGAACTTTGATGTCCAGAGTTTGCAGGTGGGGTTTCAATCCCAGGCAAGACTGAAGGAGTCATTGACCATGTGGTGGAGCTCAAACCTCTTGGGAGGTTGATCTAGCCTAAAGGTCCAGCCCTCTAGTCAAATGATTGATCTTTCTGGAGACCAGCTCCATCCTGAAGCTATATAAAGTCCCAGAATGAGTGGTCTCATTAGCATAAGAAGGACTCCTATCAGGAAATTCCAAAGTTTTTTGGCTTTTTTTTGTTTGTTTTTTTTTTAAGCTGAGAACCATGGACAAAGGCCAGATATTCATTATGATACAGCTGTGCTTTACTGCCTAGCCAGTTTTAAAGAAAATTTGTAGATCAGCACTCAATGACAAGAAGAGCAGCTTATACGTGCCACCATTTTGCTTTTCATTTTGTAAGTAGGGCTGTTAGAGGTAGCTCAGTGATATCAGGGGACCCAGATTCCATCTATTTTTTTCTGTTCTGCTATCCTTTTAAATTAGTGTGTCTTAAACTGGCTCCCCCATGCCTCAGGATCGCTGCCACCACTCCAGGCATCACTTGCAAATGTATATCTCAAGCCAAAAACAGGAAACATGTCTTTTAAACAGCCCCAAAGTCCTGTTTTAAGAGGGAAGAAAACCCCAGAAGTATTCTCCGTGAATATGTCATGTCACACTGGCCAGATTGTCATAAGTGTACAATGCCTGTACCAGTCACATGGCATAAGAGCTGAGAACATCACCTGGGAACCGGTGATAAGTACAAAGGCTTAGGCCTCATTTCAGACTGAACTAAGAAAGAAATACGGGAGAAGGACACCATTCTATGTTGTTACGACACTTTGGGTAATTTTGAGGCACGCAGTTTGAGAACCACTGACTTAGAACAATCTAGGGGTGGGGTAAGACCTAGCCTCCCCTGAAGGATAGTACTGCCAGGCAGAGGATAAAGGGGCAGTGGAGGGGGGTTGGATGTAAGATATGCAACCAAAAATGTCTACCCAGTAATTCAGGGAGTAAAAGGAGTAAGATCTTTTCCTGTAAGCTACTGTCACTGCCCTACCTACCCCTTTTATTCTTCTCTTTCTGGGCCTCCAAACCCTATGCTGAGCTGCCTACTGAGTCTCTGAAGCTACACACTGCACTTCAAAAGTGTGACTCTTTAGCAGTTGCTTCTAATTATCATACCACAACTTGAGCTTAAAAAATATTTTTAAATTAAAAGATTTCATGGCAGATTGCAGTTAGCATAGATTAATAAGTATTTTTCTTTTTTGTAATTTACTGTATCAATCTAGCTAATGACATTTTGCTTTTTGATAGGTTTCCTACAAGACAGAAAAATGGAGGACTCAGTAAACCAAATGCATCCACTGAATGAGAAGCAGATAGCCAATTCTGAAGATGGATATGTATGGCAGGTCACAGATATGAATCGCCTCCACCGGTTCTTATGTTTTGGTTCTGAAGGTGGGACTTATTACATCAAAGAGCAGAAGTTGGGTCTTGAAAATGCTGAAGCTTTAATTAGATTGATTGAAGATGGCAGAGGATGTGAAGTGATACAGGAAATAAAATCATTTAGTCAAGAAGGCAGAACTGCAAAGCAAGAGCCTATGCTCTTTGCACTTGCCATTTGTTCCCAGTGTTCCGACATAAGCACTAAGCAAGCAGCATTTAAAGCTGTTGCTGATGTTTGTCGGATCCCTACTCATCTCTTTACTTTTATCCAGTTTAAGAAAGATCTGAAGGAAAGCATGAAATGTGGCATGTGGGGACGTGCCCTCCGGAAGGCTGTAGCAGACTGGTACAACGAAAAAGGTGGCATGGCCCTTGCTCTGGCAGTTACGAAATATAAACAAAGAAATGGCTGGTCTCACAAAGATCTATTAAGATTGTCACATCTTAAACCTTCCAGTGAAGGTAAGCATAACATCTTTTGGGAACCAGGAGGAGGTGCAGATATGCAATAAATAGCAAATTTTTATTTGACATAAGAGTTGTATAATATTTTCCAGAAATAGTCTTTCATTCTCAAAACACATTGACTCATTCGAATATGTTTAGTGCCAACCTGGATTTAAACACTTACCACAAGCAATCCAGACATTAATACTCAAGAATCAAATGACAGAGTGACAGGTTAAAATTCTGCATCTTAAAATGTCACCACGCTAACTAGAATGCTCAACCAGGTGATAATGGACTATGAAAGCATCCTGGATATGATTAAGCAAAACAGCTCCAAGCCAGTAGATGGCAGAGAGCTAGGCTACAGCCCCTTCTCGCTTTTTCCCATCTTCCTGGGACCTGTGTTCCATAGAACCTACAGGCTTACTGAAATAGGGCTGAATTTAACCATTCAGGATATTAATTGTCTCCAAACAGTCACTTTTTCTGTGTCCACGAGAAGAGACTTTTGAAAAGTTAGTTGGATCTATGATTAAAACTTAGTCATTAGATTAAAAAAAAAAAAAAAACTTAGTCAAGAATATTTAGTGTTAACGTCTACAAAAATCAGCAGGTCCAAAAATTGACGTTTTCTTTTACACCAGAAGTGAAATTTGAAGGGACAGCTACTCCAATGGGTTCAAATTTCAGTTCTGCCCATTTGTGGCCTTAAGCCAAGTAACTTAACCTTTTTGAGTTTCTGTGTCTTCATCTATTAAAAAGGAGGACAGGAAATAACCTTCCTTGTCACTTAAATGTGATCGTGTATAAAGTACCACACACAGTTGCTGATGTGTCAGCAGAGGGCGTTGTGTGTTTCTTCCTTTTTCCTTCCACATAAGTAGTATAAAAGTTTCATCCACGGGATCTCTGCAGTAGTTCCTAATTTATCATTTTTTACTGTAAATGGATTTTTTTTTCAAATGCAATTTAAACAGTAAGTTATTGCAAATGATTATATACACAAACATTTAAAGTTTGTTTTTATTGGAAATTACATGCTTGTTTTAAAATACACCTGACTAATACAGAAAAATATAATTCAGAAAGTACTAGTCCTTCCCTTCAAACGAAATCTCAGTATATGATGTGTTGTGTATTGCTCCAGATTTTCATGAACGTGTTTTTTTTTAATTTATATGTCTTCTTTGTTTCAGTTAAAAGCATATTATTGATACTTGTACAGGTCAGAAGTAGTTGTATATATACCATTGTACGAATATACTATAATTTATTTAGCTCGTCTCTTACCAATAACAGTTAAGTTTTTTCCAATTTTTTATACTGTTACAAAAGTACTGCTGTAAAAAAACTTGCATAGTGTACACATTTCTGTAATGGTTAATCCACAAAGAGTACATGAAAGTGGCCAGTTTCTCCGTATCTGAACATTGACAGTTACCAGTGTGTTTTTGTCTTTGTCAGTACATTAGGTGAAAAATTTTATCTTATTATTTGAATTTGTATTTTGGGGCAAAGACTCATTTTTTAATGTGCTTACTGATTATTTGTATTTCTTTCATGGATTATATTGTCTTCGCTCCCTTACCCATTGAGTTGCTGTTCTTTTTAATATTGATATAGTCACCATTCATTCATTCATTCATAAAAACAAATTTATTGAGCACCTACTAGGGATGGGTGCTGTTTACAAGCATGTGACACACAGTATAGTAGTTAATTATTATATATAGTGTGTGTTTCACCCTTTTTTTCTTTGTCTTTCATTTTTTTTATGGGATGGTTTCTGGCATACTGGAGTTTGGATTTTAATGTACTCAAACTTATCTATGTCTTCATAAATTTTTGTTTTATGTTTGGTTTAGAAAGTACTTTTTCAACCTAAAGTTATTACAGTATTTACTTGTGGTTTTTCTTTCTCACATATTTATGATTTAATTTTTTACTTTTAAATGATTCATTATAAGAAGAATATAGGGATCCAGCTTTATTTGTCTACTGAGACACCATGTGGTGGTGTGGACCTCAGTTCTAGTTCTAATTAGAAAATTATCTGAATTTGTACAGAGTTATTCTGGGGTTTGAATTTTTGGTCTGTAAAATGAGAAATTAGTAGATATTTCCTAAACTTAACTCTTACACAAAGGATTCTTTAATTCTGACTTTTTGAGGGCAGAACTCATATTTGAATTCTTGTAATAATAGCAATATGTTTAAGCATAAAAGATACCTAGGCTTCTCAGAGTAAAAAGAATTTGGAAACAAACTCTAAGTTACCAAATAAGTAATATTTTAATACCTTAATTGAAATGTATGTTTAAAACACACTTTTCAGGTATTTATTGTGTGCCTACTCTGTGGCGAGCACAATTCTAGAACTTGGGAAGGATAAAAATAATAATAAGACTACCTTTAAGGAAGTTTTATATTAGTTGGAAAAACAAAATAGAAAGCATGCTCACATGAAACATTTAATCATTTAAGATAATGTAAGATTTTGTACTAAAATCTGGAAGATAGCAAGAGTCAATAATGCTTTAGAAGTTTTCTTCATATTAGTATTTGGATCAAATTTTTAAAATTAGAGTTCAGGAATAGCACATAAGCTCAGTTTGCCTTAGAGATATATTTTATTTGGCCTGCACAACATTTTAGGGAAAAAATGAATTTTTTGCCAACATTACAAAAAATAAGAAGACATCACAAAAATCCATATTCTGGCTTCTTTTAAAAATACGTTTTTTTGACAGTGCCAAGCAGATAGTTCGCTAAAACGTTTTTCAAGGCATACTCTCTTTAGTTCACTACAGTCTTAACTACTCTCTGTTATATTGCATGGCTTATTTCATCTATTGATTTTACCCACCTTTCTCCCATAAGGCCTAGGACAATTGCATAGCCATTTATTGGCAGAGTGTGGACTGAAACCCAAATTTCCTCCATCCCTCCCCCAACTCAATCCAAAGCTCTTTAAACTATTAAAAGAAATTATAGAAGAGAACAGATCACTTGTTTTTAATTTAGCCTGTAATACTTTTTCAGCAATTAAAAAAAAAATTAGAAATTGCCTACCTACCTGTTCACTTTCCACTTATCTCTGCAATTCATAAGTGCATATTTATTTACCACCTAAAAGGGACAGTTGAATATGAGGATAATTAAAGTAGATCTGTACTTTTGTGAGCGGCTCTGACATTATGAACCTGAGATAGGTTCTGTCTACCAAAGTTTCCAATGCTGCTATCTGTCTTTAGGATATAGGAGTTTTTCCTGCAAGGTTTCATATTGAAACAGTTATGATGCAATAAGCAAAATTGGTTGACTTCATTTGCTTAAATGTATTTGTTATATTCCAGAAAGTAGTATCATGTTTTAAAGAAGTTAATGTCTACATATCTATTTTTGCCTGACACGTGATGCATTCTCAGTAAACATGCTTGGTTTTTTACCTGGTAATAGTAGATCTCTTTTCGATTCTTTATTTTGTTAAAGGACTTGCTATTGTGACCAAATATATTACAAAGGGCTGGAAAGAGGTCCATGAATTGTACAAAGAAAAAGCACTTTCTTTGGAGACTGAAAAATTGTTAAAGTATCTGGAGGCTGTAGAGAAAGTGAAGCGTACGAAAGATGAACTGGAGGTCATTCATCTGATAGAAGAGCATAGATTGGTTAGGGAGCATCTCCTGACAAATCACCTGAAGTCCAAAGAGGTAGGTCAGTCGTGTGTTGTTATAGCTTGTGGTTAAATGTAATTCATGGTAGATATTGCAAGGATAAACTTTGGGAAACTATGTATTCATTAATTCTTTGTAAGAAAAATTTTAAATATATCTTGAAATTAATGTTAAATTTAAAACACCTAACACAATGCCAGATGTAGTTGGCATTTATTAAGTGTTAAAGAGCAAGTTAATTTGATAAGCCTTTGACCAAACGCACAAGTTTATATTAAGAAAATGTTCTGAACCCCAAAAGAAAGCCTTGGAGACATATTATTAATATTGTTATTGACATAGCTGTTATACCGATTCATAATTTCTTATGTGTCTGCCTGTTGTTGAAATAGGTATGGAAAGCTTTGTTACAAGAAATGCCTCTTACTGCATTACTAAGGAATCTAGGAAAAATGACTGCTAATTCAGTGCTGGAACCGGGAAATTCAGAAGTATCTTTAGTATGTGAAAAACTGTGTAATGATAAACTGTTAAAGAAGGTAAGTGTTACCTTGATTAGCTACTACTAATTTAAATAATTGGCTCCTAGAAGGGAAAAAATGGCATAGATGATAGATTTGCAACCAAATCAAAGTTGTGACAGAAACATGGAGCAAACAGCAAGCAGGTAGCCTGGGATCTAGATAAACAGAAGCACTACACCCAGGGAGAGAAATAAGAAATCATCCTGCAACAGGAAGAGGTAGGATGGGCTGAAGATATGAGGCAGCCCAGTCACAAGTGGCCAAGTGGGACAGAGGCTGTGGCAGCAGTAGCGAGCAGCTGCAGATGCCTCTTAAAGGGGCTGTGTCCACGAGCGGACTTTGGCGGTGATGGACCTGCTCGCTCTGAGCAACAGCGCCAGGTTGGCTCCACATGGGGGCACCAGGGACTTATAGGGGGTCATCGAGTTGTCAGAGCGAGTGCCAAGGCAAGGCTCTCCCAGGCAGAAGTGCTGGAGGTATCCATTGTTCCTCTCTTGAGCCCTCTCCCCTCCCAGTGTGGGGACTCAGTGCCACCATAGCTGAGAAGTCATCAAACTGGATAACAGAGGCCTCTTCGCCCAGAGGATTCCCTGAAATTCTTCCTCCACCAACTTGCGGCTCGACCCAAGTCACATCCAGGTGTATCCTTGGCGAGTCAGATGCTCCTTGCTGAGCAGTGCCTGGATTCACACTGGAGGCAGCTGATCTTGTTTTCTGGCATGGCCTCTTGAGGCAACAACTGTAAGCACAGAATCTGTGAAGTGCTTGCTGAATCTTAACAAGTGGCTCCAGAGGGGCACAGGCTGGGGCTAAACTTAGCCTGCAGCTGAACCCCTCTCAGGTCTATGCCACTGGACACTTACTACACAAAGCCACACGATAAGACTGGGAGGCTTAGAAGCTTTGCTTAGTACATAGAAACAGACATAGAAGGTCAGCCAAAATGGGAAGACAAAGAAGCAGAAACCATATGAGAGAACAGAACAGAAATCCAGGAATAATGATTTTAAGCAATCTAACATGCAGAGTTTAAAACACTGGTTATAAAGATGCCCAATGAACTTAGAGGAAGAGTAGATGAACTCAGTGAGAACTTTAACAGGTAAAACAAAAACAGAAATTATAAAAGAGAGCCAATCAGAAATGAAGAAAACGTCATCTGAGATGAATATATTAGAATCAACAGAGTAGATAAAGAAGATTGAACCTCTGATATAGAGGACGGGGAAGGCAAGGTGCTCAGAACGGCAGGAAAAAAGAAGCCAATACTATAATAATAAGGAGCCTATGGGACACAATTAAATACAAAAATATCCATGACCTAGGGGTACCTGAAGGAAAACAAATTGAAGAGCTATTTGAAGAAATAATGATGGAAAACTTCCCTTACCTGGTGAAGGAAATAGACATATAATCCCAGGAAGCTCAGAGAGTCCCTAGAAAGAGGAACCCAAAGAGGCCCATGCAAAGACACATCATCATTAAAATGCCAAAGGTTAAATAAAAGAATCTTAAAAGCAGCAAGAGAAAAGCAGTTACCTATAAGGGAGTACCCATAAGACTGGCAGCTGATTTCTCAAAAGAAATTATGCTGGACAGAAGAGCTTGGCACAAAATATTCAACATGATGAAAACCCAGGATCTACAGCCAACAGTGCTTTATCTAGCAAAGCTGTCATTTAGAATCGAAGGACAAATAAAGAGCTTCCCAGACAAAAATAAGCTAAAGGAATTTATCAGCATCAAGCCAGTATTACAGGAAGTGTTGGCAGGACTTCTTTAAGAAGAAAAAACATGTATCAAAAACAGGAATAAAGAATGGTAATAACTACATTCCTATCAACAAGTACCTCAAATGGAATTAAGTCCTCCAACCAAAAGATAGAGGGCTGAAGGGATAAGAAAACAAGACTCCTACATACGCTGCCTACAAGAGACTCACTTCAGATTAAAAGACACAGATTAAAAGGAAGGGGATGGAAAAGGGTATTGCCTTGATGAATCTAGAGGGTATTGTGCTCAATGAAATAAGTCAGAGAAAGACAAATATCACCTGATTTCACATACATATGGAATCTAAAGAACAAAATAAAAACAAACTCATAAATACAGAATACTTTGAGGGCTACTAGATGGGGGGTAGGGGGTGGCAAAAAGAGCAAAGGAATTAAGTACAAATGGATAGTTACAAAACAGGCATGGAGATATAACTAGCATAAGGATAATAGTTAATGTAAAATGTAAGGGGAGGGGTACTAGATTTATTTAGTAGGCTGATCACTGAGTTATATAGATCTCTAATGACTATGCTATACAACTGAAACTACAATATTGTATGACAACTAGAATTTTTAAAAAACTCACTGAATTGTACAATATAAAGACAAGCAACCAATTGTCTATTACATTTCAATAAAGCTGGGTGGGGAAAATTGGCTCCTAAATTTTGGAAATGCACTCAGCACATTTTTTAGGTGTTCTGAGTCATTTATAATACAAATTACATTTTGACTCTAATATCTAAGATTAATATGTTCTCATTTTTCTCCTTTGTGAAATATGTTAGCTACAGTAATAAATATGACTATTGTATTTTTCATTTGAATTTTGCATTTTCTGTCTTTGTTTCTAGGCACGTATACATCCATTTCATATTTTAATTGCGTTAGAAACTTATAAAACAGGCCACGGGCTCAGAGGAAAACTGAAGTGGCGCCCTGATGAAGAGATTTTGAAAGCTTTGGACACTGCTTTTTATAAAACATTTAAGGTGATGGTTTGATTTATTTTTCTTAAACAAGTGATCCAGTCAGAACTTGGTATCTTCTGTAAAAACACATTTTAAAGATATTTATAGTTTAACCACTTTGATTAGCTATTCATTTGTTTTTTCTTAGTTCATTTGAAGCTGGGTATATAATTAACATATAAGTTTATGAGTAAAGTATTTCTTCCTACCTTTGGGCAGCAACCAGTTATCCTAAGATCATTTTGATAAGTTTTAAATTATCAAATTTAAAATTTTGTATTACTTTAGAGTCCTTTGACTTGGTTTCCTATTCTCTTTTTTTTACGTTAATCAGTGGTGGATCTCCTATCTTTTGATAGGAAGTGAGTTTAGAAATGGAAATCATATATCAAAGCCATAAGTTAAAATTTTGGGTTTTAAGAATTTCTTCCTGTTCAACAAAATAATAGCAACCAAAGTCAGCAGCAAATTAAAGGGATTATACAAATGAGATTTATCTTCAGCATGCAAGAATGGTTCAACATATGAAAATTAATGTAATCACATTAATAGAGTGAAGGAACATTCACATGATCATCTCAATTGATGCAGAAAAAGCATCTGGCAAAATTTAATACCCTTTCATGTTAAAATAAAAAGTAGGAATAGAAATGAACTTCCTCAACATGATAAAGGCCATATATAAAAAACACACAACTGTCATACTCAAATGTGAAAGATTAAAATCTTTTCCTCTAAGATCAGGAACAAGTTAAGGATGTCTACTTTTTCCACTATAATTCTACGTAGTACTGAAAATTCTAGCGATTAGGCAAGAAAAAGAAATAAAAGGCATCCAAATTGGAAAGGAAACAATTATCTCTGTTTTCAAATAACATAATCTTATATGTAAAAAATCCGAAAGAATCTATAAGAAACTACTAGAGCTAATAAATTGAGCAAAGTTGCAAGATATAAAATCAGCAGGCAAAAATCAGTAGTATTTCTATATGCTAGCCCTGAACAATCCAAAAGCTAAAAACATTTTCATTTAAAATAGCATCAAAAAGAATAGAAGATTTAGGAATACATTTAACTATGGAGTTGTAAGACTTGTACACTGAAAGAAAACATTGCTGAAAGAAAGTTAAGATGTAAATAAATGGGAAGACATCAAATGTTCATAGTTTAGAAGACTTAATTGTTAAGATGACAGTACTACTCAAAGCAATCTACAAATACAGTGTAATCCCACAATATGTTTTATAGAAATAGAAAAACCCATTGTAAAATTTATGTGGACTTAAGGGACTCCGGGTAGCAAAACCGATCTTCAAAAAGAACAAAATTTAAAGACTAACACAAACTTACAGATTTCAAAACTTACTTCAAAACTACAGTAATCAAACCAGTGTGATACTGGTGTAAAGACTGTCATAAGACCAATGAAATATAATATAGAACCCAAAAATAAACTCGCATGTATGGTCTATTTTTTTTTCATTTTTTTAAATATACAATTACAGTTGACATACAGTACATATTAGTTTCAGGTGTGCAACATAGTGATATAGGCATATAACTTGTGAAGCGATCACTGGATAAATCTTCCCATCTGACACCATACATAGTTATTACTATATTGTTGATTATATTTCCCGCTTTACACGGTCAGTGTTTGACTAGAGTGTCAAAACAGTTTGGTGGGAAAAGAAAGTATTCAAATGATATTGAGAAAACTGGAAAGCCACATGCAAAAGAATAAAATTGGATCATTACCAGGAAATTAAAACTAGTATATTGCTGGTGGGAATGTAAAGTGGTGCAGCCCATGTGGAAAACAGTTTGGTTGTTCCTCAGAAAGTCAAACGTGGAATTACTATACCTTCCAGCAAGTAAACCACCTATGTGTACCCCAAAGAATTTAAAACGGATTCAGATACTTGTACACCAGTGTTCATAGGAGCATTATTCACAGTAGCCAAAAGGTAAAACAACCCAAATCTTCGCAGCAGGTGAGTGGATAAAACATGGCGTATACGTATAATGAACAATTCAGCCTTAAAAAGGAGTGGAATTAAAAACATGCTACAACATGGTTGAACCTTGAAAACATGCTAAGTGAAGTAAACCAAACAGATAAAGTCAAGTATTATATGATTTCACTTATATGAGGTGTCTAGAATGGGCAAATTCATAGAGACAAAGTAAAATAGAAGTTACCAGGTAACAGAGGGGAGGTGGGAATGGGGAGTTATTATAAGTGGGTAATTTTCTGTTTGGGGTGAAGAAATAGTTCTGGAAATAGATAGTGGTGGTTACATAACATTGTTAATGTACTTAATAGAACTGGATTGTACATTCAAAAATGATTTTAAAGTTATTATGTTATTTATATTTTACAAGACAAAAAAAGATTTCTTGGTAGAAATACCCAGTTCATGAGGAAAAATTTTTAAAAACAGATGGTAACTTCTTTAAATAAAATTATTAAATAGGCTATGTTATGTCCTTTGTTTTATGTCTAGTAAAAGCTAAGCATTTTTAAATACTTGTCAATAAATTGGTAAATCCAAAAGCAGGCCTTTCATCTGAGAGGATTTTTTTCAAATGAAAGATAAGTAAATATTATTTGTTAGAAATTTAATTTACTTAAAATTTCTGTGATTGCTTTTAATGATCGTTTTATTTTGTTTTCTCTTTAGACAGTTGAGCCAACTGGGAAGCGTTTCTTGCTTGCTATTGATGTCAGTGCTTCTATGAACCAAAGAGTTTTGGGTAGTGTACTCAATGCAAGCACAGTAGCTGCAGCAATGTGCATGGTGAGAATTTTTGCCACCCTAAAAAAATGCTTGCTATGGGGTAAAACTATAAAGTTAAGTAGGATCAAGAATTAGGTTTTTACCTGCTTTTGTCACTTTGGTTTATTTGGCACATTTTCATTTCATTTAAATATTATTTCATATCTAAAGATAATTAAGAACGAATAATTTTAAGTATATTGCACACTTAAGTATACTTACATAGTTATATCTATATACTTAGGCGTTTACAGTATTGTAGGTATATTGAAAAAGCATATTTTAAAAAACATTTTAATTTTATAACCAAAGATTAAATATGAATAGTATTTTTGAGGAAGTAGATAATGTTTAGAGAAATTATTAATGAATATAGAAGTTATAGGATCAGTAACCCAGTGACAGTAGCCTGGAGACTGTTGGCCTAACCACTGAGTAATTTCTTTAAATACAATGAATCACGGAAAAGCTTCTTCTCTTCTGCGGCTTCATTCCTTATTTAATAAAAAGAGGGTGTATACTCGGTTTGCTTCAAAAGATTGATGTGAAAACCAGTTTCTTTGTAAGAGTGTGTGAAAGTGCTTGGAAAGTATACTACTGTTCGTGTGTAGTTCCAGGACACCATAAAATAAGTTTAGAAATAAAAGAAGCTTCATAGGGTGTTTCTTTTAAAGCTGAAGTTTTATGAACTTCATAGTAATGTATTTATTTCTTCAAAATCTGCTGAAAATTACTACCATTGAATTTTTTAGGTTGTCACACGAACAGAAAAAGATTCGTATATAGTTGCTTTCTCAGATGAAATGGTACCGTGTCCAATAACTACAGACATGACTTTACAACAAGTTCTAATGGCTATGAATCAGGTAAGAAACTACTGTATTAAGTTTATATAACATACATTGTATAACTTATTATTGATATCATATCTGATATTAATTTGTGAGAACAAATCGTTGCATCTCAATTTTGTCATGAGCACAAATCAAAATATATATAAATAATAGTATTTTTAATCATTTATTTCAGAACTCTCAGTATGGAAACCAGAGCACTTTCTTTTATTCTTACTCATGTTTTTGTTCTGAGTTAGATCCCAGCAGGTGAAACTGATTGCTCTCTTCCAATGATCTGGGCTCAAAGGACAAATACAGCAGCCGATGTCTTCATTGTGTTCACTGACAATGAGACCTTCTCAGGAAGTGTCCATCCTGCTGTTACTCTGAGGCAGTATCGAAAGGTAAACAAATTCTGATGTTTTTTTTCTTACCTAAATCATACTCTTCTCAAACATTTGCATGTTTTTCACAGAAAAGGTGCTGAAGGTAGTTCTGTGCCTTAGTGTAGGAATATGATGCCAGTACTGGACTCAGCAGTGCTAAGAATGAAGCATTGGCTACTCGTGTATAATTTATTTCAACCACTTTTTGTAGGTACATTAGTAACAATATGCTTTGTTAACACTATTTTTGTAATAATCTGAACATTTATTTTACCTTAACTATAAATTTTTTAATGATTCAATGTACTCCTTAAAAAATTAAAGTATCATTTGTGAGTTTTGTTAAAGACTGCATAAAATTAAAGCAATGCTATAATCTATATTTTAAGTTTTGTGCATATATCTGTGTTCTAATCAGTGCTCTCCATTTGAGCTTTCTGAAATGATGGAAATGTTCTGTATCTGCCCCATTCAGTGTGTAACTGCTGGTCAAGTGGGGCTCTTAAGGGCTTGAGTCGTGGCTGGTCTGACTGGCAGTAGAAACAGCTGATAAAGAGCCAGGTTCTCGGAGTGTTGTCTCCCTCTCAGCAGCCTTAGCCTTCTGTAGGGCCTTGTTAGGGATGCAGATTCCCGGGTCCCACAGGGGACCTGGTGAGTCAGAAACGCTGGGGTCAGCTGTGTTTTAACAATCCCTTCTGGTGTATGTAGCACGGTTAAGTTTGAGACTAACAAGCAAGAGAACAGAATTTAGAGTCAAGACACCCTGGGTTCTGAGTCCAGGGTCTTTCTCTTTTACCACCTGTGCACCTGAGCAAATTATGTAACCGATACGTGCTACGGTAGTATATCACTACTCAGATAACATGTTACTATGGTACTATATCCCTACTCGGACACATGTTACTATGGTTGTATATCCCTACTCAGATACATGTTACGGTAGTTCATACTACAACCTTACCCCTTAGGGTTGTGACAACAATTAACGTTAGGTAGATTACTGAAAGAGCCCATTGTGGAATCTAACATAGTGTGCACTTAGTGATGATGGTTGGTTTATTTCTAACACTCAATTATTTTAACAAGTCATAGCTGTAGAGAACAAGTTCTTACATGTGACAGATATGTATAACACATAGCAAAGTCATAGGCCAAAAATGAAGAATACCAGGGAAGTAGATCCTTATATTTATATATCCCCCACACACACTGCTCCAGCATTTGATACGTTGGTAAAAGTGTCTGATGACCTTGAATATCCTGACAGGTTTCAAAAGTACAGAGTCCCTAGGCTGCTCAGGAATGTATTCTGTGTCCCACAGAGCAAGTAATACAGAATAGAGAAGCAGGAATTCAGGCGGATTGTTTACACTTTTATTTTCTTCTGAAGATCACACAGTCTATCCCTAAAACATAGACAAATTTTATGGATAGGAAAAAAAACGACTTTTTAACAAAAAGCTGTGATAGAATTTAAAGCGTCTTAATTTTGAAGGTTATTTGCTTACATATAATTTTTTAAATATGTATTTTGATCTTTTCCAACAGAAAATGGATATTCCAGCTAAATTGATTGTTTGTGGAATGACGTCAAATGGTTTTACCATTGCAGATCCGGATGATAGAGGCATGTTGGATATGTGTGGCTTTGATACAGGAGCTCTGGATGTCATTCGAAATTTCACATTAGATATGATTTAAACATAAGCACCAGCATGATCTAAGAGGCCTATTGCCATTAGTGATCTCATTAAAAATACACAGCTACTTCCCAGCTAATCTTAATCCAGTGAAAGATGATAAGATGATGGCATCATATGTGCATAATGAGAAAAATAAGATAGCCTGAGTTCTTTCTGTCTTCTGAGATGGCTGCCAAGGACGCATAGCCCTCTGATGGGGACTCCTGCTGGCAGATACTATAAGGTAGGCAGCTGGGCTTCCGTGACTGGTCACATTCGTACTTAAAAGAAGAGCCAAAAGTGTCAGTAGTTCCACATCATGTCACTTGTTTGAGAAGTGCTTCAAGTTTTCTTAAATGTTTTCACTGGGAAAGGGCAGCTGTGATAATGTTCATATTCTCTGAGATGCACTGGACCATGTTACTGTGATGGAATATGAAACTCATCTGTAAACTTTTATACCGAGGGGGTGAAACAAAAAAACCCGAGACATTTGATTAAATTATGAATAGATTTTACAAATTTCTTTAAGAGTTTTCTAAGATCACATAAATGGCAGCTTCTTTATCCAGTAAAAAAGATATGTTGTTTCTCATGTCTCATTTACACTCAGAATTGCTACCATCAACCGGAAACAAGGAAAAGCCCTGAGAAGGGGCTCTAGTTTGTGTCAGCGGGCGAATCTCTGTGGTTTGCTTGTTTTGGTGTATTTGATTGCTGTGAGTGAGGACCATGACTTGACAATTTCCTCAGAATGATAACAAGATAGCCACCGTAGTCACACTTTCTTTTTTTCGTACTCTTAATTGAAAACAACATAAAACGTTTTAAGCATTTAACTCCGCCACTCATAATTTGAAAGTATGACAATTAAAATTTCAGCTATAACCTTAAGATTAGATTTTTCCTTACTTTAAAATAAATGTTCTAATTACTTTTAACTTTATTTTTTTGCCAATCCTAAATGGGTTTTAGGTATTTTCTAGTTGTAAACATGTCAGGCCTACTTCTTTGTCCATTATTCATTGTGGCAAAACATTCTTTTTTGATAGTAAAAACATAATAATAAAACAACGTAGGGCTTTCAGGTTTGAAAGGCAATTTTTGAATAGCATATTACCACTAACCAGTCTGTAAAAAAGTATTTTTTCTATTTCATTTGTGTATGTTAAATTCTTTTCATTACACTAAAGTTCATTATATTCTTGAGCAAATACCCCTTTGTGGGGAGTTTTAACCTTTTAAAATGCTAATGTCTTTGCTTACAAGTAAATAATGGTTATCTAAGCTTACACATAAAACTTCAGATATTATACATTGTTTTTAAATATGAATTAAGGATTTACTGGGGATTTATAAACCCCTTCTCACTTAAGTGAAAAGGCAAACTAGTAAATGTAAGTTATAGCTTTTTACGTGCTTGGGGTTCAGAGGTTTTACGTTTTGTGGGGAAGGGGACTTTAGTAATGTTAGAATTTGTGTAGATAGTTTCTTCTGTTTCATGGGAAATTTGGGCTCTGTGAGTGATAAAATATTCCTTTCAAACTTCCTTGACATGTTAAAACTAGCTCTGATATGTAATCTTCAAGGCAACTGGTAGCAATTTGTAAATGCTGTGTTTTACTTGAGGTTTTTTGGTTTGCAAAGCTAGTAGCACCACTATCCACACTGCCCCCCCTGCCCCGCCCCAAATGCATTGCTTCTTAATATAATTTTGTGTTTTTTTTACCCTCTATCAAACATTGCATTTATTATGTTAGCTACTTTTGATACATTAAAATATTATGTTCAGATTGAATTTAGGTTTAAAGAACCTAATAGAATTATGTCATAGTTATTGAATTCTTTTAAGTAAACTCAAGATCTTAATTAAAAATTGTAAAATTATCTAACTTAAGTATTTAAAGTAGGTAAGTCGAGTTATATGGATTAAGGGATGATTAAAGAAGGAGGGAAAAAACTAAAAGGAACCACCACAGAAGGTAACTTTATTTTCAAATCCTGGAATTTTTGACCTGGAAGAAACCTTAGAAACTTAAAAGGTGATTTTTACCTTAGATTAGGGATTTGCGGTCTGAGAGTATGGCTGTGGAACGCTGGATTTGGAAATCTTGAGCTTTCATCCCCATTCCAGCACTCATGTCCCCATAAAATGGGGAGGAGACTGACTCAGTAAAGTCAGGGATAAAACAATTATTCAAGATGTTTATCTTTTAGGTATTAGGAAATCATGTATATAGATGATTGCTTTAGGAATAGAAAAACAAATTATAAACGTGATAGTTTTGTAGTTCATAGTAATCCTCAAGCACAATGTCTTAAAACGCTGTGTTGCTTTATAACAGTCCTATAGAAAAAATTAAAAACATTACTTCATGAATAAAATATACTCAAGTGGTAAAGAAGTTTTATTTTCTGAATTACTTTTAGGATTACCGCTACATTAGTATTTAGGGAAATACTGCTTTTGAAAAAAACCCTAAGAAAAATAAACTTTATTTCCTAGAAAACATGTAAATATTTTCAGGATGTAGTTGTAATTAATAAAACAAAAACTAATCTTAAATTCTTACCCTTCCTTGTTAGTTGAAATTTCTTGGAAATTCCATTAATTAACATTTATATATTATTTAGTTTAGTAACTAGTTTCCAGGAATATTAGTGAGGAAGAGGCTAGTGAATGGAATTTAGTGTTACCTCTATGGAATCTTTTGGTTTCTCTAACTTACTGTGTTACTATAGACAACCAATACAACCTATGTGATTCAGTTTTGCTGTCTTTACAAAGTAACATTCCTGATGCTTGGATCATAGAAGAATCAATGATTTAATATTTGTATAAAAGTTTAAATTGGGAGAAGGGCTTGCAATATAAGTTAGAACTCTTTTAATTAAAAACATGAATAAGATATGTGTTTTGAAAGACAGAATGTTTTAGGAAAATAGCTCAATAAGCTCAATAATTTCTTAAAAACACTCCTGAGTGGGAAAATGTGGAATAAAAATTTTGAGAATGAGGTGCGTGTTGACTTAGAAGTCACTATGCTCTGATTAAGAGAAAGAAAGGAATATATTCCAACATCCCCTTAGATGGTCCTAGAAAAACAAACTCGTACTCTGAGGATATACTATTAACAAACATTTGCTTAATAGGATTTTTTTTTAATTTTAAAAACATTTAAAATAATGAGTAAATTATAGGTGATAGAACACCATTTTATCTGTCTTTTATTATTTTCTTAGATGTCACAAAAACATAAAATTACTTTAGAAATTTAAGGCAGAATTCCTGAGTAAATTTGAGGATCTGACAAGTGAGGAGCATCTTTAAAAGCACAGTAGATCTAAATCTAAACAATAATTAAAGAGGAATCATTACGATCCTCTTCGACTTACTTTAATTTGACCTAAAGATATTACACCCCCCAAGTACAAATTTCTTGATGAGTGATGCCCTTAACAATAAGTAATCAAAAACGAGAAATTCTGCTCTTGTATACCACAGATTTGAGGTGATTTGTTAAGTCAGTATCCTCTAGAGAATGTCATATAGCCTCAGTGTAAACATGCACAAGGAAGAAGTAGAAAAAAAGATAAATTAGTTGTATTTGCTTTATGAATTTCACTTAGTATTTCCCTATTATCTGCTAATCTCTTGTTGGAAGATTACTTTATACCTCTGTTTTTCTTTTAAAACTCCTGACATTTTTGTCTTCTGTTTCTTTTTCTAGTCTGGCTCTACCCGAGTAATAAAATGAATGACAGGAAAGTCACCCATATTTGGGTTTGGGATGAATCTTTTATAGATTGCTTTTTGCTCCAGATTTAAAATTATATTTTTTCAAATTAATAATGGGTAGGTCTCTTGGAACAGTAATTGGATTGATATATTCTCTTCCCAAATCAAGTTATATTTTGTATACCTTTTGTATTAGATGTTTGCAGAAATTTTGTGGCCTTTGAGTAAGATAATTATTCGGCCTTTGTTTTTCAATTATAGATGTACCTAACTCTTAGAAAAAGCGCTCTTCGAAAAATAAGTAACTGAATATTCTTTCAAAAAATAGCATGTCTCATTACTAATATTTCCATAACTATAAAGGTCACTGTCAAAATCTTTGTTCTACTAAGTAGTTCACGGAGCTTATATTTACATGGCTTGTAGCATAAAAGATCTTGTAAATAACTACAATGTTCAACTTTTTTTTAATTGGTGAACTTTTTATTTGCTTTTGAAAAATTATGAAGTCAATTTTTAAAATTCTGTGATACTTCCCAAATCAAGTTATATTTTGTATACCTTTTGTATTAGATGTTTGCAGAAATTTTGTGGCCTTTGAGTAAGATAATTATTCGGCCTTTGTTTTTCAATTATAGATGTACCTAACTCTTAGAAAAAGCGCTCTTCGAAAAATAAGTAACTGAATATTCTTTCAAAAAATAGCATGTCTCATTACTAATATTTCCATAACTATAAAGGTCACTGTCAAAATCTTTGTTCTACTAAGTAGTTCACGGAGCTTATATTTACATGGCTTGTAGCATAAAAGATCTTGTAAATAACTACAATGTTCAACTTTTTTTTAATTGGTGAACTTTTTATTTGCTTTTGAAAAATTATGAAGTCAATTTTTAAAATTCTGTGATAATATTTTTTATGTAAACAACTAACAATGTAGTTAAGCTTACTGTTTTAATAAAATTATAATGACACATTTTCGTAAACCCTGAAAATACCAAATTATATTGGAAATTCGTAGCAGGAATCATAAACTAGGGGTTATGTTATAAAATTCTATTACTGAAATTAAGGTGATAATGTTCAATGAGAATGAATTTTGTAAATACAATGAAAATATACAAAAGTTGTTCCTGAGCCTAAAGAGGTTTTTTTCTTCACTTCTGTTTAGCACCACCATGGGTCATATGAACCTCATGAACACAAGCAACAGTATTTAATTTTAAAATATATTTAAATTTCTGTACTTTTAGAAGTTATCGAAATACGCTTGCACACACACACAAAAAAGTAAGTTAACTACATTTCTGCTGGTGGTCTCACTTAATGAAAATGGGTTGTTAAGGGTAGTAAATGAGATTAAAAGCCTTGCTATTTTATATATCACCACATATAACTGATGGATATTGTATCAGTATAAACATTGTATTAAAATTTTTGTTTAAATTACTTGTTAGGCTTTATTTGCAATACAAACTTTAGAATCCATACACAAATTAAATTTAAAATATTATGCATTTAATGAATGATAGCCAAGAAAAAATGTTTTTGCTGCACTATTATTCTAAATATGGACTATATGGAATTTGGTATGGTGTGAGTAGACATAACTTTTGTAGGGCATTTCAGTTATATATTCTTCCTTTTATTGCCAGCTTCTGATAATGAAGAAATTCTCCAAACAGATGAGATATATTAAATTACCTTTTTAAAATAAAAATTGGTTGGGAGAGAGGTGTTGGTCTAGTTCTTAATGTCCACTTGCTTTATATAAAGGCTTTGATTTCCATAATTGATCACTTGACGAATATTTAAATTACACAGGCTAATGCCTGCATAGAATCAAGTATTTAAGTATGCAAGAGCCTTAAAGTGAAAAACATGATCTTTCTGACTGCCTTAAAACATGACTAGCTCTCCAGCACAGGCATACTAGTTCTTTTCCATAGGGTCTGCTCACTAAGTAATGCCTTACTAGTGTTAGTGTTTCTCGAGTAACAGAAATCAAAGCATCTTTTAGAGCTTTCACTCTTCTGTGATGAATGGGAACTTATTAAGTTCTAAAACTTGATTGTCCATTAGTTGAAGCACCTATTAACGGGATAATCTGGGACATTGATGTGTTATACGTACATGACTGTTAACATCAGTAATGTTTGTGGTAGTTTGAGGTTTTTTTATTGTTTTATATAACAAATTATCCAAGAAGCTGGATTTTATGTAACATTATCTCCAAGGACCAAGTTGCATATTTAAACACTATGAATGAAAAATACAGATACGTAGTTCCAAAAAATGGTTAATTTTTTCAGGAAATTTTTCAAGACAAAAGGCAAATATTTTGTTTCAAGCCTACAAGTGAATTTATTCAAAGAAGTGAATGTAGTTGTAAAACGTGACTGTTGCAATAAAACATATCCAGGCCAGTGATTTGTTTAATTACATGTACATTTTTAAATTCACTTTGCCTTCCAAAGCAGGAATCTTTTATAAAATTTCATGAAAGAAAACTTTAAATTGTCAAGCTGGTGCTTAAAATTATATAAAGTTTGATTTATAACAAGTGTCATTTCAAGGGAAAAGACCCTGAAAAGGGGGCGCTGGGGAGGATCCTAGGTCTGTCGATAAACTCATGGATGCTTTGTTTAGTCTTCCAAGTTTTCACTGTAAATATCTAACAATGTAATTTTGCTGTTTTCTAACAGAAAATGAAATACGTATTAAATTTATTTCATGATAAAACAGTTTCCATTGATACTGTGAAATCTTGACTTCCTCTCCTTTCTATCCTTGCAAAATGCCATACTGAATAAATCATTTTAGACATGGAATGCAGGTGGGCACTATGTGAACTGTTTCTGGTTAGTTGTATTATTGTAGAAATTGACGGAAGTACCAAATAAACTATGCACATCAAATAATTGTCTTTTTATTTATTTAAATAAGAGTTTTAAGACTGTAATATGCTTTATAAAATCTAAGACTCTTAATGTTATATGAGAATAAGATAAAATAAGGTTTTGATAATTAAATTGGCCTTATAATGTCTATTGTATGTAACTTATTTATTTAAAGCACATGTGGTTGGGAATTCTTTTACAGTGGATTTTAATTATAGGATCAAAACTGGATTTAATCAAACTGCACATTATTAAAAGTTTTAAAAACAATTATTTTGTGAAAAATATCTCAAAATTGCCTTTGGGAAAAGTTAACAAAAGTCAGTTTAATGCAAATAAAAACATGTTATTTCAGTACCAATTTGCAGACATTTCTATCTGAATTCCCATAAAAATTTTCTCAAAAGTTCTAACATCAGAGCTGGAAGTTTTGCAGAAGGATGAGAGCAACTTAGAGCCTACTCACTTTAAACATTTGGTTGATTTTACAGTTCTCTGTTTAAAAATGACAGTTGAGTTTATGGCCATGCCACCCTGAACAAGCCCGATCTCATCTGATCTTGTAAGCTAAGCAGGGTGGGGCCTGGTTAGTACTTGGGTGAGAGACCACCTAGGAAGACCAGGTGCTGAAGGTGTAAAAATAAAGGCTTGTAAGCTGACAAGGTCCTTGCAATCTGTGAAGTCAACCAAGGGTTGCTTCGCCTAAAAATAAATAAACGAAATAAAAATGACAGTTGTAAGGAGAAAGGAAGATTGCAAACTATACATTTCTTCAGAGGTGAAATAACTAGACAAATTTTTTAACAATTTTAAACCTAACGAAAAAACGGCTTTGTGCAATTTTTTATCATGTTTTAGGAAACAGTAAAATCCAGATAAATTTAAACAAAAGACGCTTTTCTCAACAGCTTCCCAATTAAATATTTTGGCAATTGAAGTGTAAATTGTTTAGTTAAAGAAAATGAGAAAATGAATGGCCATTTTTAAAATGGTAATGGGCTCCAATAAAGTTTATCTTCCAGATCTTAAAGCTAGGACCGAAAAGATAACACTTCTTAAATGGGTTACCATTGTCTTCTTTCTAGCCTATAGTTCTGGAAAAGAAGCAGAGCTACTGCAACAACTCCTTCTTAGTTTTTTTCTATTATTTTTATCCAGCTATAAGGTATGGTGATATGGACTGAATGTGTCTCCCCAAAATTTATATGTTGAAACCCAAATCCCCAAAGTATTTGAAGATATGACCTTTGGTAGGTCATTAGTCTCAGCCCTCATGATGGATCGGTTCCTTTGTAAGAGAAGTGAGAGCAGGAAGATGGCAGTCCTCAACTGGGAAGAGGTCCCTCGCCAAGAACCACCTTATCCTGCACCTTGATCTTGGACTTCCCAGCCTCAAGAAATGTGAGAAAAGTTTGTTGTCTCAACCATCCTGTCCATGGTAATGGTAAAGCAAAGTTATACAGAAAAGAAGAAATGGAAACCACTCATAAAATTGTAGCTAGGACCTTGGAAAACCGTGGTGAGTCCACAATAAAACATACAGAAGCCCTCCTCATCTGCGGTTTCAGTAACCTGTGGTCAACTTAAGTCTGGAAATATTAAATGGAAAATTACAGAAATAAAAAAAAAACACGTTTTAAATTGCGCGCCGTGCACAGTAGCTTGATGAAGTCTCGCGTTGCCTTGCTCCACCCTCACGTGACGTGAATCTCCCCCTTCATCCGGGTCTCCAGGCTGTAGACGCTTCCCGCTGTTGGTCGCTCAGTATCCACCTCAGGTGTCAGATTGGTGGTATCTCACTGCTTGTGCTCAAGTCATCCTGGTTTTACTTCACAGTGTCCCCAAAGCACAGGAGTCGTGACACTGGCAGTTCGGATACAGCACATCAAAGCTACAAATGGGTTCCTCTAAATGAAAAGGTGAGTCCTGTCCTGTTCCTGTGAGAGGCTTTACTCACTTATTACAGTGTATTATATAATTGTCCTATTTTATTATTAGTTACTGTTATTCTCTCACTGTGCCTAATTTATAAATTAAACTTAATCATGGGTGCGTTTGTGTAGGAAAAAAGCATAGTGTATGTAGAGTTCAGTACTGTCCAGTTTCAGGTCGATGTCGGGGAGGGGAAAGCATTCAGTATATCTCCTGAGGATAGATGGAGACTGCTATATGTATTTCTGAGCCATCGTGATTATAGAAATTATATGTTAACGTGTCTTCTCTGTACTAAGCACTTGTTGTGATTTACAATATCTGCAGATGGTGTTATCTGCCTTTTTTAAAAAAGGAACTTACAGTTCCAAGAGATTAAGTCACCTACCTATTAGTCATGCCTAAGTATAATTAGTGAAATGAACACTCCTCTGTCTTGATCTAATAGGTGTTATCACTGCAAGTACCAGATAGGATTGTTTTCACTAAGGATTTGGTACTTCCTTGTGGTCCCTTCTGTAATCCCCTCCCTTAACCCTAGGCTTTGTAACTAGACCTGCATAACCTATTAAAACAAGTTCTTGGTCATCCAGGATTGGCAGGGCAGCTGGTCAGTCCTAGAAGACTGCCGCCCACCTCCCACTCAGACACCAATTGAAGCCACGTTGTCACCTTTGCTTCTGATCAACTGGTTATAGATTGAGGGTTCAAATGAGGGGCTCTCCTTGGGTACAATTAATTTGCTAGAGTGTCTCACAGAACTCGGAGAAACATGTTACTCACTAGATCACCGGTTTATTGTAAAAGGATGTAACTCAGGAATAGCCAGATGGAAGAGATACACAGCGCGAGGTGTGGGAAAAGGGCACGGAGCTTCCATACTCTCCCCAGGCACTGCTTCCTCAAATCTCCACGTATTCACCAACCCATAAACTCTCCAAACTCTGTACTTTTGGGTTTTTATAGGGGCTTCATCACATAGGCCTGATAGATTAAATTACCTGCCATTTGGTGATTCAATTTAATCTCAGTCCCTTGCCCCTCACTAGAAGTTCTAATTCCTTGCTTGGTTCTCCCCTTATGGGCTTTACAAGTCACTTCATTAATACAATAAAAGACACTTTTCTGGCTCAGAAAATTTCAAGAGTTTAGGAGCTGTGTGCCAAGAAAGGGATGAAGACCAAATATATCCTTATAAGTCACAATATCACACAAGAAAATAGACTTCTACTCTCTAACAAAGCTTTTACAACACAGCAAGTATGTAAAATTTCTCATGACATAATGCAAAATAAAAGACACTTCATTCTCTATTGCATTCATTCCAGTATTACAAGTTATCACAGGAGATAAAATAGTCCTAATTCTTGCTTTATCAAGGTCTAATGGCAGTTTAGTAAGTTCATGTAGAAAGCATGGCCTCCGGCTGTCTTCTGCAGGTCTGTCCAAAGATTCCTTGGTGTGTTTTGACCACAAAGAAGCGCCCATTTCTTTTAAAATCCATTTTCCTCCCTTCTCTAAGTTTTCTCTTCCCAGCATCTGATAATCTGACCATGTGACTCTGTGTGACCACCTAGTAAAATGCTTCTTAGGCACTTAATATTAAGTCAAGTGCATTTCTGAACTGTTTCAAAAGTTCATCCTCGTATAAGACTGAAGTCTTCCTCCTTTTAATTTCTGTTGAAGAGCTGTACAAAATGAAAGGATTTTTTAGGCAGAAGAGGTGAGAAAAGGAAGTTTCCAGCAAAGAGTGGATTGTTTCAGGCAAAGTCACTTTTCTGTGGAGGATGGCAGGGGTCTATCAGGTAGATTTCCTCCCTCTGCTGACCAGGAAATTCCAGACCAGCTGGTTGAGATTACATTCCTGGAAGGGGCTGACCTGCAATTAGGTTAGGTATTAGTCTCATTTTGGTGACATAGGCATAGCATATATGACTCCATTTTGGGCCCGTTGTCTTTTTTCACAATGCCCATAGGTGCAGTTCTGTTCTTCGGAACCACTAAGTCAATAAATTACTAATTTGGGTTCTCTGAAATAAGTTTCATTCCATCCTATAAATTTAACATACTTTTCTAGAAGTACAAAGTGTGAAGTCTTGCACAATATAGTTCAAGGACATATCCCTACCAAGTTCAGAACTGTACCAGTGAAAGCTTCACATTTTAATGAGAAATTAGTCTTCACCACTAAAATATGTAAAAGGTAAGGAGTTAACTCCTTCCGAATAGTATATATAATAAAGAATTCCAAATGTTAACCTTCTACCTCTTGGTTGTAAAATTTCATAAATAAATTCCTAATAAAATACATTCTTTATCTTTTGATATAACTCCACTCCTTCAGTTTTAGATATCACCTCTTTTTCTCAAGAATTGGCAAGCAGGAAGATGAGGTTTCCACAGTGATTTATTCATTATTTTTACAACTTTTTCATGAAGATGATTCACATATTTAAACATCCTCAAACATTCAAAAAGCATTATTACTTTAAATAACTGACATTTTACTATCACTAAAATTCTTGTTCCTTTTTTTTAAGTAACACTGATGAACCAGTGGAAGCAATTTCCCTTCTTTGTGAAGCCTATGAGTGTCAGTTGCACCTCCAATAAAAGTTCCATTGACAAATATTCTTGGCACCTGTTGGATAAACAAAGGATTAGGTGTCACCTTAGTGTCAGAAGTAGAAAACCATTTCCCATAATAATAATTGATGCCCACACCGTGGGCAATTTTATGGGCCGGGCACCATACTAAGCTCTCTTGTAAGTTCCCTATTTAAATCTTTACAACCCTTGAGTTAGGTATGATTTTTAGCCTTATTTTGGAGGGAAATGAGGCATAGGAACTTTGCCCAAGATCACAGTGACAGTAAATGACAATGATCAGATTTAAATCCAGGGCAATCTGATTCTCAAGTCCTTCTTCGTAATCACTACAGCATATAAAAGGTAAAATAAAGCAGTCTCTGTTAACATTTAAGTTTCTTACAGTTGTTTGCTAAAAGGGGACAAGTATACTATAAACTTCCATATATACACACACATATATATACATATATATATGAACAAGAAGGGAAATGGCAACACTGTATATTTTGCTAGCAATGCTTATTATGGAAAAATCCACAAGTTTCAAGAATCTAAAAACATGGAGCACTAAAGCACTCCTACTGGCACAGTAACTGAAGACTGACCCCTGGTCTGTATTGTCCAAGTGAAGGAGGAAGGATACTTTCATCAAGAGAAGAGCTCCAGGTGGCATTAAAGGTTTGTAGACAAGCAAGGACTCATGACAACACCATTACCCCACCTGTCACAGTCAGCGCGCGCGCGCGCGCGCGCACACACACACACACACACACACACACGGCAAAGAGTAAAAATAAAATAAATTAACTCTGCTGTTTCCTATTCTATGAATCTGGCTTCCGGATCTGCCATTTCTTTCTCAACATAGATTCTCAGAGAATGTCTGGCTGTCTTTTCCTAACACGAAGGATATGGGCCCTAGTGATTCAGATCACCACCCACCGGGGGAAAAGCACCACAGAGGAGACACTCACGGTTCTTTCCCCAGTCATTTTGTAGAGAGCGTCCTGAAACTGGCTCCCATACTCAAGCATGTCCAGCTCCACCACTTTGTAGTTAATATCCATGCCATGGAAAAGCTCCTTCGCCATTGTGCAGTAAGAACAAGATGTTTTTGAGAAAATCACCACGCAATTATCAGAAATTGTTTCCTGAAGTAAAACAAACAAACAAAAAATCACTTTAATTTCAGACATTATCTTTTCGAAAGAAACCATAATATAGAGGAAAGGATATGGATTTTGGGGTCTCACCATTCAGAGCTAAAACTAAGTCTCCATCATCTATTCTCTCATCTGTAGATTGAGGGTAATATTCACTTCAGAGGAGTGTCATTAGAGGAGAAGGATGTCATGGCCGGAAGGTGTTGGCATGGACTAATAACAGTAGTAACATAATCGGACCCAATTCATATCCAGCAAACACTTCTGCGTGCCAGACGCATGCACAACACTTCACTAGCTCATTTAATCCTTGCTACAGTCCTGAGATAGGTCCTGCTATCACCTCCACTTCACAGAGGAAGGCAAACGACTTACTCATAGTCCTCAGCTAAATGGCAGAGCTGGGATTTGAACCCACGCAAGTCTGATTCTACAAACCAGGCCTCTCAAATAGTTAAAAGGTGTTCCAGAGTTAGCCTCACTTCCCTTAACATTCAGTGGTGAGGGCTGACATAGGATTTCTCCTTAAACTTTCACTGACCCAGGAAGAAACAGCAGCTTATAACAATTTCCACCCTATATCTTTATAGTAAAAAAAAAACAAGCAAACAAACAAAAAAACTGGCATGACTGTATTGATAAAGTATTCATATATTGTTGTTCCTGGAAAAGCTATTTCCAGAAATGCTAATTCAATGCATTTGAGGCAGAGGCCAGAAACTGTATTTTTAAATACTTTCCCGGATGATTCTAATGATATCAGCCTGCTTTGGAAACAAGCCTTGACCACAAAAACCAGGAGACTTTGCTAGGCATCTGCCTTACCTATGAAATGTTTTGTTTGTTTGTTTCTAAATATATGAATGTCTGGGTCCTTCAAGAGATTCTGAATGGGTAGGTCTAGACCCAGGCATCCGGATATGTTGTTCTTACATGGGTCCTAAGAAGCACCTTCAGGATGCAGGCCAAAAAGCAGAGTACCTGGGCAAAGTGATTCAGAAGTCACACCCACCTGGGGTATCAGAATGGTTCTAAGTCACAGGCCAGCTTTCTGCAAGTGGACTATTTCTTATGCTTTCTCTTCTGCTTACTCATAATATTGAGTATAGGAGTCTATCTCAGGGAAAGCCAGCCATACCAGAATGTATTACTGAACCCATTTTATAGATGAAAAATTGAGGCTGAGACATCCGTAAGACTGGGATTTGACTCAACCCATCCCAACACCAAAGCCAGCGCTCTTTCCCCCGCCATGCTGCCTCACGTTACAGGCACACGGAGACTGTAAGTGACATGGGTCTGACCATCCTGGGTGCTGACATGTAGTACAAACATTGATGAAAAGATCCCAAAGTGAGCTGAAACTCCAGATGACAGTGCTAAACTTTCTTGAACCCTCCTCCTCACCTTTTCTCAAGATCATCCTTGGTAATAGTTCATCATTTTGTATTCTCATTTTTAAAAAGGGCAATTCCCTCACAGTAGGTTTCTAGCATTGCCGTTACAGTTGACAGCTGTGAGTGAATATTTTTTTAGGCAAATAAAGGCAGAAATGTTCTGTATGTGATAGTGGTTGGTGGTTGAGGAGCAGAGAAAGAAAAACACAAATATGTCTTAGAAGCGGCAGGAAAGAAAAACATACATACACGAGAAATTTTTCAGAGGCAGAATTAACTGGGATTTGCAGTAGGGGAAAAAAAGAGGAAAACAGGAGAACACAGCGGTGCATGGCACCCCTGAGAAGACTGTTTAGAGTATTGTGTACTAGGTTCTGTGTTAGGGAAGGAAGCTGTTATACAGCTTCCCAGGCCAAAATCAAACAGTTCCCCCGGTTAAGGACACCTCGACCTGAGATGGGGACAATGGCAAGGGGGAGCCAACCTCACAGACCCAACTGAGAGAGAGTGAAGACTCCATTATGAATGAATCTCAGTCTACGGTCATGCCACCCTGAACAAGCCTGATCTCATCTGCTCTTGTAAGCTGAGCAGGGTTGGGCCTGGTTAGTACTTGGATGGGAGATCACCTAGGAAGACCAGGTGCTGTAGGCATAAAAAAAAAAAAGAATGAATCTCATGAATTTTGACTATCAAAATAGACTTTTTTGTCACAGAAATTATTTGGATAGTAGATATTAAAATAGATATTAATTTAGTAATACATTTGCTGAACTATAGCAGGTTGGATACTGAATAAGCACATTCATTGTGTAAGACAAAATTTTTTTTCCACACAGGAAAGTTTTTATACTGCATCTCCCGCATCACTCACCTGGATTTGATCTGCAGGAGCAGTTCCTGGCTTCCCCAAAGATGATGATGACATGCTGTTCCCCATCCTAAAAGGGATTTTTAAAGGTAGCACAGTTTATCGAACATTAAAGATAATATGTGAGATGAGATCCATGTGAAGAAAACCTCATATGCAAATATATATCCAAACTTAGGAAATAGAAAAAAGTTTTACTTATTATCAGTACAAAATATCAGTTTACAAAGTATTTCTTTACTAAGACCAAAAGGGCCTGTGTGCTTCTCTAACTAACTTCCCAATGCCTTTAATTATTTGATGCAATCACATTTATTGTGTTTAAAGCCTGGCACCAAATTTCAAAAAGACTGTCCTGATGATAGGCCCTATGATCTGACTATTGGTTAAAATGTAGTTTCCATTTTCTTATCGAAACATGCCAAAACTCCATGAACACTTTTTGACACAGATAACCTATGAAGATCCAAAGATTTTATGGATATTGAATTATAACGTTGTACACCTCAAATTTATATAATGTTATTAACAAATTTCATCAAGTAAAATTTAAAAGTATATTTAAAAAGTATATTTAAAAACGGAGAGGTTTTAAAAGTGAAAAAATTTAAAATTTAAAAGTATATTTAAAAACGGAGAGGTTTTAAAAGTGAAAAAATTTTTAAGGAAACTAAAATTTCTAAACCACAACAATCCATAGCTCCAAGTTTCCCAATCTGTAAAGTGAGAATAATCACTCCTACTGCAGAGTTTTGTGAAAGTGAATGAATTGACTTACAGAAAGCAGACCAGTGTCTTGAACACAGTATATGTTCAATAACGTTTGACATTATTACTGTTATTTCCTAATTACAAAGACCCTAATTATATCAGTGTTTCTTATCCGAAACCAAGCTGTTGGGAGTTTGTAAAAGGAGACATTCATTGCAACAGGAAAGTGTTCACTAAAAAACTGACCAGTTTAGCACATCGAACCTCTCTGCCTACTCCTAGAACCTCCCCATCCACTCCCACTTTCATGATCAGCCAGGCCCAACATGGTTGGAACAATATCAGATCTCATGATGCAAACTGATTGCAGGGTGAAATTACAAATCTTACAAAAATGATTATAAATAAGAGACTCCAAAAAAGAATTACTTTAATATCTGGGGATTAAGAGGGTGAGAGAAAGAATTAAAGATTCAAATATTCTCCTGATGATTCTGTTGCAAACTCAAGTTTTGATAGAAAAAATTTTCCCTCCAAACACTTGAATTATTCACTGTGAGTATACTTAAAATTTAAACGTTGTTAACCATAAAAGTATGCTACTTTTTTAAATGTTTAGGTTTTTCTTAAGGTACCCATCAAACCTTTTTTCTTTTTCTTTTCTTTTTTTTTACTGTATAGCATAAAACTTTACTGTTTTAAGAATCTACTTTAAATGGCTTTTTACATGTTGTCCTTGGATGATGAGCATCTTTCTGCCTGTACCCTTAAAATAAGGAAGCTATAACAAACATCACTTTCAGTAATCACAAAGAAGAGTTAGAGACAGAAACTACTGGAATGGAACATTGTAATTCTACAATATTTACAATATATTGTTTCTTGCTTCCCAATAGTTTAGCAAGGAAACCTTTAAAAGGAAAAGGGCCTGTGTGCTCATCTCAGACAGAGGGTAGGAGAAGCAAGCTAGACAAACTGTAGCCAACTTAGACAGTGCAGCTTTAAGGAAAAAGCAGACTGAGTTTCTGGAATATAAACCAGAAAAGAAAGGAGGTTAATCAGTTCTGTCCTGGACCTTAGAAGGTGCTTTGTTGGAATAAATAAGCGGTCTATTTGGTTTATCAACTAAGAAAACAAGCCCTTTCCATCTCAATTCCAACATTCTTCATCCCTTAAACCATCTACTACAATATTCACCATTGAAGGAAGAGTTCCAGTAGAACTTTCTTAAGATTTTTTTTGGGGTAGTGAGAGCAGGTAGAAGGTGCATTCTGAAATATCACCCCCTTTCCTGCCAACTAAAAGAGAAAGTTTCTGGAAAGGACCTTTCTCCTTATTCTAGTTGAGTTCTGCAAAAGTTATCGCCTATTAAGGAGAGGGACATCAAAAGAGAAGTCAGTGCATAATAAACCTTTCACTTCAAACGATGAAGCACCCACTTGTCATGCCACATGCATGGAGCGCCTACTATGTGCTTAGCAGGCAAAATGCTAAATGCTCCAGAGAGACATATCATTATTGGTAGGAGTTACCAGATCGAATGGGTAGGAAATAACTCCCAGGCAGGGAGAGATGCACAGTGGACCGCGCATACGTGAGAGGCGGCAGAACCGGC